GCTACTTGTAACCGAATGCATCTGTAAATCGCTCTATTGTCATAAACTTACGACAAAACCTTCTACCTTTGGTTGATGAAGTTGAGCGAATAACCGACGTGTTCAGATACAAATAACCGGTCATTTAATCACAAGTGGTGTATCTAAAAATCACTCAAAGCTTCGCAATTATTTTTTCATTAATAGATTTTTTCGCCAATGAGTTCTAATAATTGTTGAATTGAATAATTGTATAAACAATATATGCATGTACATTTGTAGTTGATATATATGTCCTAGACCACCCGTCCATCGGAATCGGCATTTTGAGCTTACCTGAATTTCTAATCCACTTTTTTTGAATCTGTAAGCGCCTTCACCATATGCGGAAGGACCTGTCGAAGAAAGAAGGAATGCATATATAAATTCACGGACCTATTCCCACGGCAATGAAAACACTCATCGCATGACAACTGTTTTAACAATAACAAAAAACCGGTTATAAGGGGGACTTTAAACATGCATACATATATGTGACCTGGTCTACGAAAAGGGAGCTTACGTGCGAAAACTAGTTTTCTGTGAAAAAGCTGTTAAAGCTGTCAAAGCTGTTTCGTCAGTCGTCGTTTGTCGTATTTTTACTCTTCTTTCTCTACATTTTTAGTACACTTCTAAGCAAGTTAGGATTTTCTGCTTTTCACCACGTGAAAAAGCATCTCATCTTCCATCCGAATCAACCAAAAAGTGAAAATTGAATTTTGACACCTAAGCCCCCTTTACGTAGACCAGGTCACATATATAACCTCAAGCTTTAAAACTGAGCCATCAGCGTGCGTACGTTAAGTAGCTGCATTTTCCCTACTTTTAATGCTTTTTTGTTGATCAATCTCAAAAAAAAAAAAAAAAACCAATTAACACTAGAAATAGGGGCGGGGTCATTGGAACCATTTTCATATTTGCCAATATTTCATTTGCCAGTTGTTTTTCTAAATTGGTATTTTGTGACTTTTATTAAAAATGCATAAAATTAAATTTAAAAGCATGTATTTTTTTTAGCTTAAATCAGAAATTAAAAACGAAAATTTAAATTTTATGTTATTTTTTTTAATCTATAAACAGTTTTAAATTCAAAATTATAACTAAAGTTGGGTCAAAACCCCTAGTGTCTAGTGTTAATGGGCACATTTTTTTACTAAAATAAGAATATTAAAATGTAAAATAAATTT